CGGCAATAGTACTGAAGACTTGTGCTCCAGGACTTGCCACTCCCCTAGCCAAGCTGTTCCAGTACAGTTACAACACTGGTATCTACCTGGCAATATGGAAAATTGCCCAAGTATGTCCTGTACACAAAAAGTAGGACAAATCCAACCCAGCCAATTACTGCCCCATCAGTCTCCTCTCGATCATCAGTAAAGTGATGGAAGGTGTCATCAACAGTGCTAGCAAGCGGCACCTGCTCAGCAATAACCTGCTCAGTGACGCACAGTTTGGATTCTGCCAGGGCCACTCAGCTCCTGACCTCATTACAGCCTTGGTTCAAACGTGGACAAAAGAGCTGAATTCCAGAGGTGAGGTGAGAGTGACAGCCCATGATATCAAGGCTGCATTCGACCAAGTGTGGCATCAAAGAGCCCCAGCAAAACTGGAATCAATGGATATCGAGTGCAAACTCTCCGGTGGTTGGAGTCATACCTGACACATAGGAAGATGGTCATGGTTGTGGGAGGTCAATCGTCTCAGCTCCAGAACATCTCTGCAGTAGTTCCTCAGGGTAGTGTCCTCGGCCCAACCATCTTCAGCTGCTTCATCAATGACCTTCCCTCCACCATAAGGCCAGAAGCGGGCATGTTCGCTGACGTTTGCACAATGTTCAGCACCATTCATGACTCCTCAGATACTGAAGTAGTCCTGGTTCAAATGCGACAAGATCTGGACAATATCCAGGCTTGGGCTGACAAGTGGCAAGTGATATTCGTGCCAGGCTGTAACCATCACCAATAAGAGACAATCTAACAACCACCCCTTGACATTCAATGGTGTTACCACCACTGAATCCCCCACTATCAACATCACAGGGATTATCATTGATCAAAACTCAACTAGATTCACCACATTAACACAGTGGCTACAAGAGCAGGCCAGAAGCTAGGAATATTGTGACAAGTAACTCACCTGCTGACTCCTCAAAGCCTCTCCACCATCTACAAGGCACAAGTCAGGAGTGTGATGGAATACTCCCCACTTGCCTGGATGAGTGCAGCCCCAACAACACTCAAGGAGCTTGGCACCATCCGACAAGGCAGCCCGCTTGATTGGCACTAAATCCACAAGCATCCACTCCCTCCACCACCGATGCTCAGTAGCAACAGTGTGTACTATCCACAAGATGCACTGCAGAAATTCACCAAAGATACTCAGAAAGCACCTTCCAAACCCACAACCACTTCCATCTAGAAGGACAAGGGCAGCAGACACATGGGAACACTACCACCTCCAAGAAAGTAAGGAGGCATGGGATTCCGGGAAATTTAGCTGTCTGGATACAAAACTGGCTGTCCAATAGAAGACAGTGGCTAGTCGTAGATGGAAAGTATTCAGCCTGGAGCTCAATGACCAGTGGTGTTCCGCAGGGATCTGTTCTGGGACCTCTGCTCTTTGTGATCTTTATAAATGACTTGGATGAGAAAGTGGAAGGGTGGGTTAGTAAATTTGTTGATGACACGAAGTTTGGTGGAGTTGTGGATAGTGTGGAGGGCTGTTGTAGGTTGCAACAGGACATTGACAGGATGCAGAGCTGGGCAAAGAAGTGGCAGATGGAATTCAACCCAGAAAAGTGTGAAGTGATTCATTTTGGAAGGTCGAAATTGAATACAGAATACAGGGTTAACGGCAGGATTCTTGTCAGTGTGGAGGAACAGAGGGATCTTGGGGTCCACATCCATAGATCCCTCAAAGTTGCTACCCAAGTTGATAGGGTCGTAAAGAAGGCGTATGGCGTGTTGGCTTTCAGTTGGAGAATTGAGCTTAAGAGCTGCGAGGTTATGCTGCAGCTCTATAAAACCCCAGTTAGACCACACTTGGAATATTGTGTTCAGTTGTAGTCACCTCATTATAGGAAGGATTTGGAAGCTTTAGACAGGGTGCAGAGGAGATTTACCAGGATGCTGCCTGGACTGGAGGATAGGTCTTATGAGGAAAGGTTGAGGGAGCTAGGGCTTTTTTCATTGGAGCGAAGAAGGGTGAGAGGTGACTTGATAGAGATATACAAGATGATGATAGGCATAGATAGAGCAGATAGTCAGAGACTTTTTCCCAGGGCGGAAATGACTATTACGAGGAGACATAATTTTAAGGTGATTGGAGGAAGGTGTGGGGGAGATGTCAGAGGTGCATTAAGTGGTGGGCGTGTGGAATGCGCTGCTGGCGGTGGTAGTGGAGTCAGATACTTTAGAGATTTTAAGCGACTCTTGGATAGGCACATGGAGGATAGTAAAATGTAGTGTATGTAGGGGTAGTTTGATCTTAGTAGGATAATAGGTTGGCACAACATCGTGGGCTGAAGAGCCTGTACTGTGCTGTACTGTTCTAAAAAAAAGCACCTCCAAACCACTCACCATTCTGACTTGGAAATATATTGCCGTTCCTTCACTGTCGCTGGTTCAAAATATGGGAATTCCCTCCTTAATAGCATTGTGGATCAACCTACAGCAGGAGGACTGCAGTGGTTCAAAAAAGCAGCTCACCATCACCTTCTCAAGGGCAATTAGGGATGGGTAAGAAATGCTGGCCAGCCAGTGATGCCCACTTCCCACAAATGAATAGAAAAAAAAACATATTTATCACATAGTGTATCTTCAGAACTCAGTTTTCAGGCTTTATCTCTTCCCATTTTCTCTGGCTTCTTAATTTATATTAGCTTATTTTGTTTCCTTCCACTTTACTATTCTGCCTTACCCATTTTTTTCACTCCCTTCTTCCTCCAGCTTCTCTACTTCCCAACCTCACTCCTCCTTCCTGCATCTTGCCTAATCTCACATAACATGCAAACAATCACCCAGCAGCAGTTTTCTGGGAAATTCTCAAGTTGATAACAATTGCTAAGTAACTATTTTCTGCGAATACAGATTCATTCACTGACAGAAACTGTGACAGGTGATGATAATTCCTTTGTGCTTTCAACCTCTCAGATGTTCTATCCTACCATTATTGATTGATTAGGAGATTATGTTGTATGGAAAAGAGAGTTGCAGACAAAATTTTCTCCAAATTACTGTTGCTTGGTGATAGTTTCTTGTGTGTGGCAATATTTATGTGATCTGTTTCGTACTATAATCATGCAGACTATCCATTTTTAACATTTTCTTTGAAGTATATTAAAGTATCTTTTACCATAAGATTCTGAAACTCCTAAATGAGTCAAAGATTTTGCTGATTTCATGGACAAATCTTTACATACTGTACATCTTCAATGTCGGGAAAAGCGCTGAACTCCAGAGGTGAGTCAAGAGTGACTGCCCTCACATCAAGGAACACTAACAAAACTGGACCTCAGTGAAAGAGTTATTCAAATTAGGGTGTTACGTCCAACCATCTTCAATCGTTTCATGAATGACTTTCCTTCCACCATCACTCAAGAAGCTTGACCCATCCAGGATAAAGCAGTCTGCTTGACACCACCTGCAATATGCACTGGTTTCATCACTGAAACCTAGTAACAGCAGTGTGTTCCATCTACAAGACACACTGCAGCAACTCACCAAGGTTTCTTAGACAATACCTTCCAAACCCACAACCACTCCCATATGAAAGTACAAGAGCAACAGATCTAGGACAACAAATTAGCATCCAAGTCATACTCTATCCTGATTTCACAATATATCAGTGTTCCTTCAGCATCATTGGGCGAAAATCTTGGAACTCTCTTCCTAACAGCACTGTGGAGGTTCCGACACCATGTGGACTGCAATGGCTTAAGAGGTAGCCCACCACCTTCTCAAGGGCCAATTAGCATGAACAACAAATGTTGATGCCCATGCCCCATGAACAAATAAAAACATGTACTTTTTGAGTATAATGTAAAAAAGTACAATGAATGGACACCAAGAGCAAATACTTGGCCTGTCCTGCTCTGCTCTGAATTCAATATCAAGGAGAAGATTGAGAGGACTGAAAAATGACCTTAACTTCAAGTCGAATGTCCACCCACCATAAACCTCAGCTCATCCAAGATCCTACAGCCTGTATTCTGCTGAGCATTTCCAGTAGTTTCTGTTTCTATACCAGGAACGACAATTTGTTGCCGTTACTTTTGTTTCATGGAAAAATTGCGAGTTGATTGATCGAGCTCCTCAAAAAACAAACGCTGCTTTTGTTAACTGAATGTTGGCTGATTTTGTGTCTGCTCTGTTGGTATCAGTTTTTTGCTCCTTTCTGCAACCCCGCTCAGCCGTACTTTCCTCGAACTCTGTTTTGTTTGATTAATTATCAAATTCCGAGGTGAAAATAACTCTTTGTATTACATTTAGGGCTTAAGGAAATAGTATTCAACTCAAAACAAAAGACCAGGAAGAACACTCAACACTCAACCATCACTTTCAAGTGAAATCAAGACAAGCTGGAGTAGATGCTGGCGGTAAGCAGATGGAGTCCCGATATGACAGATTTACGAGGTATTGAGTGTTAAGTGCAACCTGATCAGTTTGACGCTTGACAATTAATTCACATCGGAAGACGTGAAATGCAGCCTTTTCACAAGCTATAGGTCGACAGTGATTTATAACAAACATTAAAAAGAAAGCAATCCTCAGCAGGTTCGGTTATTGTTCTCTGTAGGTACTGCAATAAGCTGCTGAGCATTTCCATCATTTCCGGGTTCTGATTTCCAGCATTGGCAGTATTTACTTTTGTAACACAACGGTCTGTTATTGGAGATGACAAAGTGTAGAGCTAGATGAACACAGCAGGCCAAGCAGCATCATAGGAGCAGGAAGAGTTGTACGCAGCGAAGTGATAGAGTATGACACAGCCGGTTTTTGTGTTTGAATGTTAGATATCCTCCAGGGAGGGGAGGGGAGGGGAGGGGAGGGAAGGGAAGGGGTGTTATATGTGTATGTGTGTGGGGCCATCTCTCCCTCCCCCAAATGTTCTCCCTGGGTGAGGTCATGCTATCCGTGTCCCTTTAAAGGCAATTCGTGCTGTAAACTTCCGGTCCCGTGGTGTGTGACAGAAGGAAATTGGATGGAGAGCAGCTTGTTTCCAGCTTTTCGGTTGGACAGTGTGTGTTGGGAGAACGAAGCAAGGGACACGGATAGCACTGGGCTCCCACATGCCGGGGGGAAGTAGGGGAAACTAGGTTATTAGCTGTGCGGAGCACCAAGCTAACACTTGAAGACCTACTTGAAATATTGTACAAAGCTGTTGCATAATGCATTGATCCTGATGCATAAGTGCCTGTGGACTATAGCTCATTCTCGTCGGCAGTTCCAAATCATTTGCTTCCCTGTTTGCTGCTGTGTGGGTTTTTTTTTCTCTCTCTCGTGGTACTGCAGCAGCTGCAGGTTTATTTTGTCTGAATCCGGACCGTGTTGTGGCTGAAAGCCGACTGTACGGATGAGCAGTCAGCCCGCTTCCACAGTCTGCTCCGGGAGCACTGTGCACCGCAGATACCCCCCGCGTTCAGCGTCCCCCACCGTCCCTCAACTCCTGCCAGAGTTCACTTTTTGTTTCTGATTTTTTTTTAAAAGACGGGCAGGAAGAGAGAATGGCTTCCATCAGCCTGGGACTAAATTTCTCGCGAAAGAAGAGCTTGGCGAGGAACGCTGCAGTGGAGCGGAAAAACCTCATCACCGTTTGCAGGTAAACCGAGGCTTCCTGCCCAGAAACATTGTGTGTCATTCATCCCGGTGGGGTCGGCTTCAGTGAATCCCTGAGAGCTAATACACGTTATTTCCTTTCAATTCCTGTCCCATAACATTGGTTTGCTGGCCACTTGTCTGTATTATCATAAAATAGTTCTTTATTTCAAGGGCTCTTTTGATCCATTTTGCTAGGTGTACCGTGCAGAACTATTATTGGGTTGTGTGCCGTTCCTCATGCAGTTGTTCTACCTGTAGTCTGAACTGTAAGTTGTGTATCAGGCTGTACGTTGAAATCATGGAGTGAATCTTTCACAGATACAGACTATTCATACTTTTTTTTAAAAAAAGACACTGTATTGTTGAATTTAATACACGTGTCATATCCCTTTCCATAGAGCACTTGCCAAGATTTGTGACTGGGACCACCCTGCAGCCCAGCCCCTTTAATTGATTGCGACTCCTGGGCCAGCACTTTTGAGAATGACGGGGTATTCAGGAGGCGATACGCGGATGGGACAAACCAGTTTGCTGACTCCTGTAGAGGAGGTTCCTGCCTTACTGCTGCAGTCTGTTCTCGCCGCAAACGAACTGGACCCGGCTGAAAGTCCGCTTGTGGGCAACTAGGGAACCGCTCGGAGCAGCGGGGGAGCGCGGTGGGAAAATCACAAGATGTTAAGTTTTTGCAATTGGCCGATCGAATCAGTTTCAAATATTATTATTGAATAAACAAGATTGAGGCTCGGCTGATAATTTTCAGCCCCTGTTTATAGCAATGATTGCCCTCATGTTGCAGGGCCGTCTCTATTTCTAGTGTACCGGTTTCCAGCCGTCGAAGTGTGCAAATGCATATTCAAACCCTTTGCTGCTGACCCGGGCGTGACACTGAGCACCAGGAGGTGGAAGTGACCGACCCGTGAAGCAAGAGGGCTCTCTCTCCTGTCTGTACCTCCAGATCGGACAGCTCCTTGTGGGTTTGCGTGTTTTTATTGTCAGTGTGCGCACATGTTTAAGGAATATTTGATTTCCCCCAGTCCATTCATTTATTTCATCCAGAAGTAAGAAACATCTTTGTCCGATTTCATTTAATGTGTACAAATATTCAGACTGAGTTCCCCTCCCTTGTGCACACGCGGTAACTAATCAATAATGCTTAATATGAGTAATTAGTGCGATTGGAATGGCTTACCAGATACTTAAGCAGCTTCATGCGTAAAGGAATGGGGGCGGAGGGTTTCTTGTGAAAATCCTACTACGGAATGGAGTTTTGTTTAACTCAACAAAATATTTCATCTGGAAGCAAAAATTTCAGCCTCTCGCCCTTCATCCTGTCCATCCAAAACACCGTCAATCTTGATCAATTTTGGTCCGCCAGTGCTTCCATTTGAAATTCTCACTGCTGTGTTTAAATCCCTCAGTGACCATCCTATTACTCCTTCCTATTCTCCTCTAGTGGCAAAACCTTCGAGGAACTCTGGAGATCCCGGAACGTAGGGTCGTTACACGTTTTTCACTCCCTTCAGGCTTTGTCTGGACCCTGAACTCTGAAAATCCCCTCTCTAAAATTCCACCAGCCCTGACTGAGAATTTCTAATGAACCAGATCAGAGATGTTGTTGCACCTCTGGAGGATGTGGGTCTTGGATCCAGACCTTCTGGCTCAGAGGTAGGGGCACTACCACTGTCTCAAGAGCCCTTCACCCCTTTTTTTTGTTTACTTCCAGAAATGCTCTTTACACACAACTGAACAGTTCCCTTTCCCATCCCAAAATCATCTGTTTTTTTTTGCATCTATTAACCACCAACAGTAAATCATCTGTATTTCTAATTGAATAATTTATGTACAGAGCCTGTTAGCTTGCGTTGCCCTTATCAAGGGGAGCCCTCCATCCCGACCTACAATATACGTTGTTAGCACCTGCTATTGACTGTGTCAATTTACATTTGACTACAAAAATTTGTGCGTTTTAACATTGTGAGATGGCCCAAGATACTTAATTGGAGCATTATCAAACAAAATTTGATATTGAGCCAAAATTTGACACAAAGTATATCAAAATGTTTTCCTGCATTAAGTCATTATAAAATCACATTGTGTGAGGTCATAGCCAATGCTATAGATACATGTGAAGTTCGTAACCTTAAAAATATTGCATAATATAGCTGCATATGTTTCCTTTTTGTGTACATTACTCTTGTGAAGTGCCTTGTTCACTTTTCAGTGGGATTATCTCAAATTATAAAGCAATAGAGTAAGTTTGGGTGTATGGACAGAAGATGCATTGATTTTTTTATAGACCAGGGAGGCCCCAGATTTGTGGCTTCACTTGAGCTGAAATGTTTAATCTCTGCAGAGTTGGTTGCCAAGATCACATAACTTGCCTCAAGTTCATTGCATTTTCAGCTACAGTTCTGAGACTAATGCTGGATCATGCATATGTGCAAGGAAGGCTTCCCTCATACTTAACTGTTCTTGTAACATGCTCTGCCTTTGCTTACATATAGGGATGGCATGTGATAAAGAGCAGAGGCTGGCAGTGTCTAGGGTGTCACACCATTTGATAGTGTTGTCACGTTTTTGTTTTGTTTTAACCTGGACACAAATTTACATGAAGTTCTAAAATTAAATGCAACAAATGACTGGGCGGCCGTAAATTTGCTTTGACTTCTTTAAAGATGGCTGTTAATTGTGTGACAGCAATTAATACATAGGAAATGGGAAGTAAAAGCAATAAGCCCACATTTTAATCACACAATGGTGGCAAATGTTGCCCAGTCTTCCTCATAACTTATTTACACATCATCTAAAAATAGATTAGAATTACTTTAAACATTTCTTATTCTTCACTTCTCCCACTTCATTGTAACCAGGTGATCCAGGCATTATGTAATGTAGGCTCTTGTCATCCATGACAGAGTGATTATGCTATCAAATTTGCATCCAAGATTGAATGTCATACTACATTGTTCATCATGCATATTGAGGTGTAACATTCTTGGTTGGATAGTTGTGGTTAGACAGGGTTTTTCCTTTTCATGCCTTGCGAGCTGTTAGCTGGGTTCCAATTTTTCCACCCCTGTGACCTTCATGGAACCTTCCTGGTTCGCTATAACAAACTCTCAAAATGGGGGAAACCACACCAAATACTGTTTGGCATCGGGATCTTTCTTGAAGCTCCTGAAGATTCTTTAGGTGGAAGCGGTGCATCTGTCACTTATTGATTGTATCCTGGGATGTCTTTCTGATTCTTCAAGTATGTCACCTACAGAGCTAAACAACATACAAATGTTGTTGTATTTATATAGTACCTTTTTAATATATCAAAAGTTCCAAAAGGCACCTCACAGGAGCATAAAACAAAATTGCCACTGATCCTATTGGACTGATGACAAAAAGTTTATGTCAGACCTTTTGAGGAAAAGAGATAGAAAAGGTTAGGGGGACACTTGTAAGCTTTGGACCAAGATGAGGCACATAAGCGTGCACAAGTTGAAAGAACACAGTTCTTGGATTGTGAAAGACTTTTTTTAAACAAAAAACGTAGGGAGAAATGAGGCTGAGGAGGAATTTGAACATAAGTTGTCATTGTTATGTAAATCGGAGCTGAATTTTTTCAGTATGTGTCATGTGTACCTGATGCTGTGCATCTTGTCAAAATGTAATTTAAAACCAGCAAGCTGCAGCTTTCATATTGGCTAAACCTTCTCAGTGATGAAGCCCAAGTTTGTGTTCTATTAAGCATTTATGCTGCTGCTCTTTAATTAAATAGCTTGGTTGTGTACCCTGCTAATGAGGAAAAATACATTGTACTTGCAGTGGAAATTGCTGTATGATGCATATAAGTATGCATTATTCAAACCTCAAATATGGTTTAATGTGGCATTAAAAAATTATTTTGCTGTCATGTTTCCTCTTTTGGTGTCTTCCTCCTCTTAACTTTTGGAATAGTCTCTTTGTTTTTCCATATTGACAGATCAAACAAAAACAAAACAACATATGAATAGGCCATTTGACCCTTGAGCCTATTCCATTATTCAGTTAAATTGTGGCTGACCTGTATCTTGACTCCAGTTACAAATGTTTTGATGCATATTCCTTTGGCCTTTGTCTACCACAGTTTTATCTATCTTGATTGATTCACCATCCCTGGTTCTCTTTTTTTTTTAGAGAAAAGTGGCCAGCAAAACCTGAAAACTGAAGGTCTTATCCATTGACTAGAGAACCATCAAGGAACCCCCTGTTTGTTCTGTGGGGTAGCCCCAATGGAGCCATTGTCTGGCCCTCTCATCATAGAAGCCTATTCGTTCAGAACTGCCCTATTGCAGTCTGGCAGCTCCTTGTGCTCAAATTGCAATGGAGGGATTGAATTCTTTGTCCGTAGAGTTTTGGGGCAGTAGGTTTGCCAAGTTGGGTTGCAGAGTCAAGAAGCTGAGCTAACAATGTGTAGAGCTGGATGAACACAGCAGGCTAGGCAGGATCAGAGGAGCAGGAAAGCTGACAGCTCAAGGAGGCAGGGATGAGGCTAGTAGGTAGGAAGTGGGGGTGGGGGTTGGTCAGTGAGGTGGGAGGAGCGGACAGGTCAAGGAGGCGGGGACAAGATGGGCTGGCCTTGGGATGAGGTCGGGGAGTGGGGAGATTTTGAAGCTTCTAAAGTCCGCATTGAGGTGGGGAGAT